GCGAAATCATAGATTTCAAAGGATGGCCACGACTTGTTTGGCTCATCACTGAGCATTTGGTAGGTTCCGCATGCTTCCTTTTTTATAAGTCCGATATTCTCAGATCAAACTTTTGTTCTCTTTTATTTGCAATAATTGGAAAATATTTAGCAGTGGCGGTCTTCATAACGAGGAGAGAGAGAGAGTTATCTTAAAGTAGCGCCTTTCTCACATCTTTTTTTTAGGAGTTGGGCATTTCAAAGTTTTTTTAGTTGAAAAGGCAGTGCATATATGCATCTTTTTTTTCAATTAAGAAACTTTGTTAGTCTTTTTCAAAATTCCAAAAAATTGAACTTTGTTCAGACTTGATTTTTCCAAACTGTAGTTGAAATTTCACAAAATTATTTATGAATTTCCCAACGATATTCTTCTTCAGAAGAAAAGCAAAAATATCATTTTCCTGAATTCTACTGACTTTTTGTTCTAATTCCAATATATCTTCTACCTGAGTTGACCTTCACATTGCGCAGTACTATTTCGAAATTTATGGATAACTTTCTAGAGCAAACCACCGAAAGACTGGTCTCTGCCTCCACGCATAACTGACGATTCTGTTGCTTACATCGAATACACAACCGATAAGGAAGGAAGCGTTAAAGGCGTATGCGTAACTCGACAAGCCCTGCTTTCACATTGCAGGTAAAATTACTAATGAGACAGGGACTAGCAGTTTTCCAGTTTTAACTTGTATTTACTTTACTCTCTGATTCAGGTGTTTATCGACAGCGATGGGTTATTCAAGTTCCGATACGATGGTTTCAGTATTGGACTTTAAACGCGAAGCTGGTCTTTGGCACTCCATCTTAGCGGTTTGTTTTACTTTTTGTCTTTCTAAAATAATGTTTTTGAAATTTTGATCAAGTGCTGTTTCACCAGAATGTAATAGCAACTTTTTCTGAATGCTTTGACCGAGTTCAGTAGTGGCCACTGGTAGTAGTCGGGTTCTTTTTCTCGCTTCTTTTTGTCTGGGGATCAGATTTTGTATTGGTAATCACTTCGGAGGAAAGTGTGAGGATTTGACCGTACTTTGCTGGAGTTAATTGAAAATACTGTGAAATTACATCAGAATTTCTTATGTTTATGGGAAAAAATGTGACAGAACTGCAACGAAATAAGCAGCTTGGGAAAGAAATGATACGAAAAAAGGGATGGCGTATGTTTAGCATGGCGTCTATGCCGCACTTTTATTTTGGCCCCCTGGTAAAGACAGAAATGTCGTTTCCCCAGCTGCTGCGCATTACATTGAATCCTGTACTGGTTCGATAAACACGAGACTTTACCGTCGCGCAACACCTAGTTCGGACGTGTTGGATCTCTTGAGTACTTCTGAAAATGGATGCAGTTTGTTGGGTTTTTACATTCATCCAGCAAGCGTATTCTTCATTTTTGATGGGACAGCTGAAGACTAAGC